AAGCATTGTGATTCCAAGGGATTTTTAGCATGCATGTACAAAAGCTCACACTATCTAACAATGCCAACGGAAAGGGCTTTCTGTAATATTTCCATAGACTGTTTAGGTAGTTATCAACTTAAATTCTCATTTAGTGACTGTTTTCAGTTACAAAGGCACTGAAAAAGTGACTTATGAACGTTTCTCACACTTACCACCGTTGCAGCATCCATGTGGTCACGGGATTAAATTTTAGATACTTACCAACTGACATGTATTTATGATGGTTGCAGTGTCCCAGGACAATGTTTTGTGACCTTCTGACAAGCAAAGTCGATGGGAAGCTACATTCACTTAACGACTGTGTTACTAACTTACCAACTGCGGTGATTCATTTAACAACTGTGACAAGAAAAGTTCTAAAATGGGGGCAAAATTCAATTAACAACTGTCTCTTTGGCAAACAGAAATTTTGGGCTCAATTGTGATTGTCAGTCAAGAAATACTTGAAAGTCCCTACACTAGGTTGAGAACCACTGTTTGATGAGTACAAGACTAGAACTTGGATCCAAGAAATTGCCCTGACTAGTATGGTGTTATTGTTGTCTTTTGTGGCTTGTGTTTGTGTGTGTTTGAACAATGGAAACAGTTCTTTTATTTTATTTTATTTTTTGAAAAATTTCTGAAAATTGTTTTTAAAATTAAATTCTCCCTCACTCTGTCACAGTTGTTAAACTGTCTGTTCCTTCTTCCATGTTACTGGGTATATTTTCTGGGTATGAATGAATTAATACAATGTTGTGAGAAGGGTTTCCTCTCTAAAATGGCCTATACAGCAAGGGTGTGCAAAGCCTTGGGTGCAGCCTCCAGAAGGCCTCCAAAAGTTGCTGACAATTTGTAATATTTTAACTCAACCATAAAGAGTTGAACATAATTTTCTGCCCACTTTCCCATTTTAGATTTCCCCCCCAATGGGATTTAATGTAAGAATAGATGTGTTAGGCTTACTGATGAATTAATACATCCACATTTGATCATTTTCTGCCAAAAATTGCAGCTAAATCTTGTCTATGGAGATTCTCCCTCTATAACAGCAACTGTGAGATATGATTTAAAAACTGTGACAGTGGAAATCATTAAACAAACTCATGTGAGAGTGAACCAGGTTGCTACTGTGAGCCACTGCAGGCACAGAAATGAAATCAGGCACATACTATGTAGAAAAGTCTGTTCAATGTACACTTTTCTATGAAATCAAATTATTCTGGGAGAGTTCTTAATGACCATAGAACCTGCTTGCCTGCGCAATATGGCTTTAATTTTCCTTAAACCAGATGATGAGTTTACAATTCTGAGAAATAACCTATCTTGGGAGGTGAGACAAAATCTAGTGTTTTCATGCAACAAAAAGTAATCAAGATGGATGGATGGATATAGATATACACTGTAGATAGATGAGAGAGAGAGAGGTTTTATAAAGGAGCCAAATTCACTTAACTACAGGTCAAATCTATTAATACAAATTAGATACTGAAATTGGAAAGAACAAATCCTACTCCAGAAACTAAGCAGATATATGCAGCCAGTCCTATATGGGCTTGTTTATTATGCTTATAAAACAAAATATTTTATAATGCTTTTTGCTTAAAAAGTACAGCAGTTTATGACTTCATACTCTTCAAAATATATATGTCAACAATTGCTCTGGATAGTGAGATGAATGGCATGTAAATTTAATAAATAAATACTCCCATGTTAAGTATATATGCCTATATAATTCCAAAAATAGCAAATCTGGAATCATACTTGCTTTCATATATAAATTTAAGAGGCAAGTGAGATTGACAGGTAGTGTGAATGCACTGGGTTTTAATGAAAGGCAGGAAATTGAGATGGGTTTGGGGTCTTATTGGCTTACCATCTGTTCTTTTTAAAATAATGTTATTAAAAATTTTAATATAATTCAAACTAACCTAAAAGAAAAAGTGCAGAAAAAAAGACAATAACCACAATAATAAAGTGACTTTCAATCTTCATTATACCAAGCATAAGCTGATGTGTTAACTTTTCATTCTGTATAAACTTACAAATTAAAAAATATATATTCTCATAGTCTAAGTTTTATTTATATGCAGCCCACAAAACATCTTTTCAATCCTGTTTCAGCAAAAAAGTCCATTAGGCATTACCAGAAGTATCAAACAGTTTATCCTTAATCAAATAGTCCAACTTTATATTCTTTTTAATATAATTTTATTTTATTGAAAAGTAAGTTAAAATATGAAACTCCAAAAAGTCCAAACAACAACCAAAGGAACAAAATGAAAACACAAAATTTAAGACATTTTTTTTAAAAAATGCATTAAAAAAACAAGACATATACACCTGTTATCCCCCAGTTGAATACTGATTAATATTCTGTAGGAAGCTCCCCCTCCCCCAAAATTTTCTTTATTCTTAATGTTAAAAAGAGGCAGAATAGAATATTACTGCAAAGGAAAAGAGGATAAACAACTTTTTATTTTATTTATTTGGTTTGTCAATTGCTTGCAAGATAATAGGTATAAGTAAAAACAGTTATGAAAACATGGATACATATAAGAAAAATAAAAAAAATAAACAATAGGACAGGGACAGTAGGCATGTTGGTGCACTTATGCACGCCCCCTACAGACTTCTTAGGAAAAGGGTGAGGTCAATAGTAGACAGTCTAAGGTTAAAGTTTTGGGGGTTTGGGGAAGAAACCACATGGTCAGGTGAAGTATTCCAGACATTGACCACTCTGTTGCTGAAGTCCACCTACTCTCAATCCCATTTTGTCAGCCACCCCAGAAACCTGCTGCTATCACTGGAGTTTCTGGCTACCAAATAAACAGAGACTTTCTTTCCTGCAGCCTGCCTCCCATTTTATTTCAGTCTCTCTCTCTCTCTCTCTCTCTCTCTCTCTCTCTCTCTCTCTCTCTCTCGGCTTGGAACCGGACCTGATTTTTCTTCCAACAATTCCCACCCTTTGCAAAAGATCTATTTGTAAATTATTGGCCCGTATACCATGTTAATGATAAAATAGTTAACAGGAAGAAAGGTAATAATATAAAAAACAAGATTAAGGTTCAAAACTCTCTGTTAACAAGCTGCTACCAGCTTGATATTTTTCTTTTTGCTCTGCACAATCTCTAAATCCTTCCTACAGCATTGGAGGTTTTGATCTTTCATCATTCTTTGGGATTTAAAAGAAGTCTTCAAAGTTTTCATCAGCCTACTTTTGTAAATTTCATAAAGAAGCATCATCCATGATTTTTTGTAGCCGCTGTTCCTTTCCCAGACCCTTTTTCTTGATTTATTGTTCGTATTCCTAGTTTGGTAAATTCAATTTTGCTGTCTTCCATACTTTCAAACACTATAATGCCTATATCAAGTCAAAATCTTTTTTAAATCTCATCATTTTCTAAAAGTTTACCATTGAAATCTGTATCCTTTCTGAGATTATGAAACTATTAACATTTTAGTCCGTGCAAAAAAAAATATCTCAAAGAAAAAATTATAGCCAATTTACCTATTTTAATACTTTAATGCCTGGTCCTTGGCTTGCCTCTAGTGACCATTTACAAACTTCACCAATCCTCAATTCCTAATATGGATCTGGTTCTGTTTTCATCATTTCCCACGAGCGTACTAATTAATTACATACTTGTTTTACAAATCATATAACAAAAATAACTGATATGCCAAGTCTCTCTGGTTTCCCAATCCAATTAAAATTTTCTTAAACAAAAATCCTTTCTTTCCTGCTTTTTTGCTAATTTTATATTATTTGCAGTTTCAAGTTTCTCTTTTAATTTTTTTTTAAATCCAAAGAAAATAAAACTCACCAGGTATCAAATTAAGCTCACTATTTTGAAGATGTCTAATATTTATAATGTGGTTAAATCAAACATTTCCAAAAATGATGTCCTTATGAAAGGCTCCACTGCAAGAACAAAATTGTCACATCCTTGGATCTTGGCACTCAAACCCATGAGAGACCACTGTTCTTCGTTGTCCTTGTGAGGAGTTATGGGAGATCTCCCAAACTCTCATTTGGAAAAAAAAAATATCGAACAATTAATCTACCCACTGGTCCTTCATTCTGCACAACATCCATCTCTGCTTATTTACCTAGATGTCTTCGGTCAGCCCTGGCTCACCATCAAATCCTTATGAGCCTTGAAATAGCCACAAATCCTTGATTTCTTAGGGTGATGAAAATCCAGCATCGTGGCAACATCTAGCTGATGTTTGCTAACCCTAAAACATCAACTAGGGTCAAGACTGAATTATAGTTGGACAGGAATGTCTTGGGAAATCGAAGGGCATTAGGCTAGATTAGGAAAAGTTTTTTTTTTTTTTTAAGTATCCTGGAATGAGACAATAACAAATCACTTCTTGATTGTTATCAAAAATTCCTGGGCAGACACATCTGTAATGTTTCTAGAGAATCAAGTTCAACTTGAAGGACTTAACTGGAAGCCTCGGCTTTTCTGTCAGTTACTTCTCTGCATTCTTTAGCTGAGAACTATTGATATAGTTTGCTTAAGATCCATCATATTGCATCCGAAGCTGGAAAAGATCCACAGAAGTAACCAAGACGTGAGTGGGGTTGTGCCCTATAATCTCACCCTGATGAAATTGCATAACTAGTCATTTGGCTCTCTCTTATTATCTCTCCCAACTTCCTCCTCTGCGATGAAGCACCTCAGTGTTCAAGCATCACCCAACCCCCTTTACCCTTGCATTCCAGCTATGGGATTAAAAAGGGGGGCCTCCTTGTGTTGGCCACAATGCAAACTTGTGACTGGATCATACAGCCAATGTTCCCCCGCTTCCCCCATCTCAATTATTAGAAAGAGGAGGGGGAAAGCCCTGTGCTGGAAAGAAAGCAGTGTCTTCATGCTCCAAAGAGAGGTGGGTATATGTAAATGAGCTCTCTTTTTAATAGCGGGTGGGTCTTCCTTGCCTTCTTTTGCCATCAACTGTTCAAGAGACTACAAAGAACTCACAATTTGAAGATGTCACGGATCTGGTTTCTATGGGCTGCTGTTTGGGCTCTCCTGGCTACTACTTCAGCTCAGCGCAGTAAGTGGAACCCCATTTTCTCTTAGAGATCAGGTTTATTTCACCCACAGAAGTTTGCCCCACCATAGATTATAATCTTGTGTGCCAGCGTATTTCCAAAGATCAGACTGAGCTATGCCTCAACTCTGCTGTCGGGTAACCCCTTGAGCAGCATCTATTAATTTCACCAATGCACAAAGTATGACCTTATTAATATTCTCTGTGTTGGGCTTGTTCAAAAAATGTTCACAACTCAAGAGACTTAACAGCTGTTCCTTTACTGTGTTGTCATCAACATCACAAGGTAAGTTAATGTATCTTAACACGGGGATCAAAAAAGCACAAATCCTTACAATACAACTGCTTCAACTGCTATAAATATTAATGTTGAGGGGTGTGTGTGTGTGTGTGTGTGTGTGTGTAACCTATCTTATGCATAAATGCCTTAACTTTTTTTTGCATGCAAAATCCAGATGTCCATTGTTTTTCAAACTTTCCTTTTTAACAAAAAATATTCTCAGGAAAATATGATTGCAGATGAAATTAAATTAAAGATGAAATTAGATTTGTTTTACATAATATATGTTACAGGCACACACAGTGCAGATGCATCTACAGATCAAACTAGATTTGATTCCTTTCACAGGTGCTAATGTATGGATGGCAGTGGTAGATTTTGCAGAAGGAACAGTGAGCAAATATGACATGCAGTGAGGGGCAATGAATGGAGAATCCAAACTGATTCCTTGGGACATAGAGCTAACCCAGAAAATAGTTTCAATTTAGAGGACAACCTTGGAGGGGAAAAAACTATTGGCATCAAAAGGGACTAATTTTCTCTAGTTATAAATTTTGGATCAGTTCTAGAATATTCAGAATTCTTATAAAAATGTTTTTGGGAAGTAGTTCACCTCTACTCAGCTCATTACGGTGTGAAAAAAAAATAATGATGCTTATTTGCCACTCCAAAGCTGCCTTTGGAGCTTTGGTTTAATTTGATAATTATATTACGTACTCACTCATGGATATACACACACACACACACATACAACTCTAGCAAAGCCAAACCTCGTGGTGATCTGGATTTTTGTCTAGGCAGACAAGACTCACTAATCCTCTTTTGTTGGTGCTTTGCGGTTTGGGATATGGAATGTGGGTGCCTAATTTGCTAAAGACTGATGGTGGAGAGTCTCACCTTGCTCAGTCAGATCCAATTCTTAGTCACCCCGATTGTGTTAAAGTGAGTGTGTGGGAGAAACCTCCATTTCAAACCTTAACAACTTTTTAATGTTCAGCTACTGGTTGTGGTTGTGTATCCTTTGTTCTTTGTGAGTGCTCCCTTTCTTTCCTCAGGGAAGTTTCCAGACATGGGTCAACTTCACTAAGAATTGGCACAAGCTAGTGTTTAGTAGACATGAGTCTGAGGGGGAGGAAAACGGCCATCGTTTTGTGTGATAACATCTATTTGACACGCAGCAAATCCCAAATTCAGTTCATTCCATGTTATCCCCAAGTAAAGATTTTTATTTTTTAAATTTTCTTCGAGGATATTTTTATGTCTTTCAAATCTAGTTTATAGTCCTAAGATTTCCTGGTCATCTTGCATTCAAGTACTGCTCAAGTATGACCTTGCCTATCTCTCATGACTGAAGAAGGTCAAAAAGCCGAAACATCTTCAGAGAGATAGGCAAAAATTCTTCATGGATCCTGGGGAGAATCTACCTTTCCAATATTTCCTAGCCAGTATTGAAGTACAGCCCTTCTCAGCAGGTAGGGAAGATCACTGCTGAATGAAATGGCTGACTAGGGGTGAGGCAGCTTCTCATTTAATCTGGGATTGTTTTTGCAGTGAGTTCTCTCCGTTGCTTCCCTTTTTACCAGGAGAACTCAGGAGAACTGAAAGGAAAGTGGGAGTTTTGTTTTATTTTGTTTAAAAGAGAAGTGTCTTGGAGCAGTCTGTGTAACTAACGATAAAATCCTGGGAAACCAACCTATCTTCTCACATTTAGCAAATGCTGTTTTTTCTTTTCACATTGCAGTTTCCTATGTATGTTCTCTGCTTCCCACAAGTAGTTTGGAACACCCTAGGCTGCCTAGGATGTGGCTAAGCACTCAAGACTTTCTTTTATTCTGCTGTAGGTGCAGGCAGCATGTGACAGATCAGCCCACGTCAATGCTGGGGGGCTCATATCACATGGGTCTCGGCGGCCTCTATTCAAGCTCCTTCATGTGACTCTCAGCTGAGGCAGGCCTGTGTGGCCACTGTGTAGTAAGGAAGGTCAGGCATTGCAGGTCCAAAGCTTGCCTAACCCCACCTCCGTCCCCCTTCCTCCTTCCATTAGAGGCTGATTCATACAACCAAAGGGGCAAGAACAGCTTCCTTTAGGTGATATGTCTGTGGAGATTCTCAGTCATCCAGGTCATAGTTGTCCCAACAGAGCTTTTTTCAAGAGGCAACTTTCTGGTTTTTCTTTGAAAATGTTTTGCTCCTCATCCAAGAAGTTTCTTCAGCTCTGACTGGATGGTGGGGAATGGATCCATCCAGTCAGAGCTGAAGAAGTTTCTTGGATGAGAAGCAAAGTGTCTTCAAATAAAAACAAGAAAGTCCAGTTGCCTCTTGAAAAAGCACCTTTGGGACATTTAGGTGATATGGATGTGGCTCTATATCTCTCAAGCCTTGGATGCTGCCCCAGAAGCCTTCCGAAAATTGCCTTCAAATTATAATGTGTAACGTTATTATTATTTTTTTATTTATCAACTTTTGGTATCACCCATCTCACTCTCAGAGTTACAGAAGAAGGAGGCTTAGAAGATTTAAATGTATTAAAATTAACATCAATTAAACAGATATTATATGGGACGCAGTGGCTCAGTGGCTAAGACGCTGAGCTTGTTGATCAGAAAGGTCGGCAGTTCGGCGGTTTGAATCTCTAGTGCCATGTAATGGAGTGAGCGCCCATTACTTGTCTCAGCTTCTGCCAACCTAGCAGTTCGAAAGCATGTAAAAATGCAAGTAGAAAAATAGGGACCACTTTGGTGGGAAGGTAACAGTGTTCCGTGAGCCTTTGGCCACATGACCACGGAGACGTCTTCGGACAATACTGGCTCTTCGCCTTTGTAACAGAGATGAGCACCACTCCCTAGAGCCGAAAATGACTAGCACATATGTGTGAGGGGAACCTTTACATTTACCTTTAAACAGATACTGTTGCTGTTATAGCCTACTGGAGGATATTCCTTGGCCAAACTATTCAAAAGCCAACAAGGTTTGCATGTGCTACCTTCGCTGCCACTGTTATATTTTTTAATAATAACTTTATTAAGTTTTAACATTATACTTTAATATACAAACTAACATAAAAGGGAAAGGAAATGACAAAACAATGAAGTGACAAAAACGTACTTCAAACAAATATAACAAGAGTGATCTCCGACTTTCTTTGAGTATGGGGTATTAACAATACAACCATCTTAGTTTAAAGAGAAAAGACCATATATTATACCTTAAAATACTCATGCTGAACTAAAAGCCAATAGTCATTACAAGTTCATCTCTTAATTTCATCTAAACAATAGTAAGTTATCAAATATAAATAACCTTGTATTAAAAAAGCTGTAATATTTCTTTAGTCAAGTCCATTTTCATTGTCAGAATCCAAAATCAAAAGCTGACTTTTCTCTTTATCCTGTAAGAAATCTATCAATGGCCTCCAGATTGCATGAAATTTAATTGAATTATTGTGTTGGTGCAAAGCAGTCTATTTTTTGCCATCCTGGCTAGCTCCACTAACCCTTCTATGATGATGTTCAAGATAAGAGACCCTTGGTCCTATTGTGTTCTTTCCTGGTGCTATTTTATGTCACTTTTCTTCTTTAAGTGAATAATATGGAAAGCCATAAAATAACTTGACAAATATTACAGATGCAGATTGGTCCGATGTGTTCCTAAAATCACCATTCCTAAAATCCAGAGCATAACATTTCAGAAAAGACTTTGCACACTTTGGGGAGAACCCAGCATATTCAAGGACCTTCACATCTGGGCAGACTCAGCATGAGATTGGGGTGGGGGGCGCTCAAGATGGCCAGAAAGGAATTAATCAACAAGCAGAAAACACCGGAACAGCCCTTCACTGTCCGCCTAGCTTTAATCAGGCCATAAAATACATATTTTGTTCAACTATAATCCATTTATGGAAACATACAAGTTCATTCACTTATTCAGAAGCAGGCTTTGGCAGAATCAAGGTAATGTATGGTTCCTATACATCCAGCAATGAAAGATAAAAATGACTTTTATAATGATAATGTTATTATGCCTTGGCTTCTAACTTTATCTCTGACATATTAGAAACTATGTGGTGGTAAAAAGACTAAAAAGCAGGAATATCTCTGGGAGATGAGGGCTGGCAAAAAAAAAAAAATCTGGAGAACCTATCAGGTACAAAGAATCAGGATCATACGTTAAGTTGGTTCAGAAGGTTTATTGCTTAAGCCAATACACGAGAATACACGAGAATTACTAAATTGGCACCAGATAAAAGTCAATGGGATTCAAGAGGGATTGGATTTAGACTATTTGTGGGAACATAACGACTCGAGGCTGATGACTCGTTTAACTCTGCTCCCTCCCCAGCTTTGCCTGTTCTTCTCTTACCAGGACCATTGCAATTATGCATTTAAAGCCTGTCTCTTTTTCTATATGCTAGATGGTGGGGGAGGGGTGTTTCAACTGCATGGTTGTAGCTGCCCTCTGCACTTTTTGAACCAGTGCCCCCCCCTCCCCTGGTGAATGCCCCCAGGATTAAAGCACATTGTTTTCTTCTAGGGTTCAGTGGCCGGAACAACAGATGGGGACAGAATGGAAGCCGGAGATACTCTGCGTACAAGACATGGAACTCCAGTCTTTACCCCCGGTGGAGAGAAGGAGATCCCAGGCAGGGAAATTGCTGGCGAGGTACGAGATAAGTTTGAAGTAAAGACAATCGGACTGAACAAAAAGGGGAAACAATCCGCTGAGGCTTCTCGGCCTCAGTATAGGTGGTTAGAGTGACATGGACTTTACTTGCAGTCCTTCTTCGAAAAGACTGTCAAAGGCTCATTCTTTGTGAGGAAGTATTTTCTGTCTGGCCTAAGTTCCACTTAACCATTAAAAACCGTTAGACAGCATCTTTGCATCTGGATAGCAATCTGTCACTTAGTCACCCAATCACGGGCCTCCTTGTTGAGATGTACTGTGTCTTTTTTGCAGTTATCCTCTCCCTTTCTAAATGTGCTTCTGTGGGGTCCTTGAGAGCAAACCCCACTTCCTTCCAGCACTGATGATGTTGCCTAGTTGGGTAATCCAGCATCTGCAAAAAAACAACCAAGCTCAGAGAGCACCAAGGAGCCCAAAGGAGTTCGTCCAGGAGCTACAAATATTCTCCTCTATCGAAATGTATTTCTGTTCTTTTTAAGTTGTTACTGACACACTTTTTGCAAGCTCTGTGCCCTCTTTTACCCTCAATAGCAGAGATAGGCAAGTGCAGTGCCAGCTGTGGCATAGATCAGAAACTTTGGACACCTCTCTTTTTTTCTTTCTAGGTGGCAATGTCACATTTGATATCGGCAACGATGCCCCGACTTTAACAAGTGCCAAAGTCACATTCAGGATTACTCTGCGCTTTCCCAGTAACCAAACTGCGCTGCCAGATGGACGTGTGGTATGGAGCCAGAACTGCATCATAAATGGTAAGTCACACACATTGAAATGGGGTATTCCTGTAGGATTTGAATGATTTCAACTGAGGCCTTTTGGAGACTTATTAACCGTGTCTTTTTTTTATTGCTCCCTCCCCTTCTCTTTTGCAGGCACCCGTATGAGAAAAGGGGATCCTGTTTTCCCAGACCAGGAGGAGGATGCTTCCGATTATGTATTTCCCGATGGACAACCCTTCTCCCCAAGCAATCGCCGGCCTGGCAAGTTTGTCTTTGTCTGGCAGACATGGGGTAAGTTGCTGTTTGGACCCTTAGGTGGGGAAATGCCATGCATTTCAGTCCTTTCCTTCTTCATTACAGGTAATCCTTGACTTATGACCACAATTGAGCCCCAAAATTTTGTTGCTAAGCAAGACAGTTGTTAAGTGATTTTTTGCCCTGTTTTACGACCTTTCTTGCCACATTTGTGAAGTGACTCACTGCGGTTGTTAAGTTAGTAACACAGTTGTTAAGTAAATCTGGCTTCCCTATTGACTTTGCTTCTCCCAAAAAATTGCAAAAAGTGATCACATGATCCCCAGGGATGCTGCAGCTATGATATATATGAGTCAGTTGCCAAGTGTCTGAATTTTTATCATGTGACCATGGGGATGTTGCAACAGTCATGTGAAAAACTCTCTTAGGTCACATTTTTCAGTGCTTTTGTAACTTTGGACAGTCACTAAACCAATGGTTCTAAGTTGAGGACTACCTGTACTCCAGCTTAGCAACTTCTACAGCATGTTTGTCCAACTCATGGTGTCACATTGCCTTCATGTGACTTTTTGCGACGTTCTTCCCCTTCGTGGAGCTGGGGTGGGTGTGGCCTGTGCTTGATGCATATGGCCTGTGGACTGCCAATTTGACACCGCTGTTCTACAGTTTCTGAATCCATACACTGTACTCAAGCGGTGGTTTGTGTGTGACTCATTATAAATATTTCTTTATATTTCTTTAAAATATTTTTATGCTGCCTGTAATGCTAATGATATTCAGGTGGGAAACATCAACTGTATACACAAGTGGAAATAAAAGTAGGCAAATCAGAAAGCAAAATAAAATAGTGATTTATATTTAATCACATAAAAGGTATGAAGTCCTCAAACGGTACCATCGTGAAATGGCATATGCCACAGAGACTGAACATGTTTCAGGACACATATGAAAGTGAAATAAAAGGGCACATGATAAGGAGAAAGCGTTCCACAGCAGAAAAGGGCCCTTCCTAATTGACATAAAAAGAAAATCCACAGGATTGTGGCACAATTAGGAAGGTCTTCACTTTGACTGGGAAGATTTAACTGTGAGAGTATGCTTGTTGTGTTGGACAGCACAGAAGCAGATGGAGCTGCTGTAAAAATGATTTTCCTTAAAACTTTCTTGAATACTTAAAAAGTACTGTTTTACATTTTAAAAAAGCATATAAAGTTAACCTCCCTTTGAAAATTACTTCTTAGTTACAGGTGTTTAATGACTGCCTCAAATAGTGACCATTCACAAATAAAACAATAATAAAAATTTCATTGTGAAATCGATTAAGGTTGGTCAGTTTCAGGCAACAACCACTGGAGGGTTGGAATCAACTAAGGTCACAGATGAATTTGTCAATCTGCAGTTATTTTCAGAGATTTTCAGAGAAGTGTTGTTATGTGGAGAAAAGCAGCTCAGGAAGAAATAAGTTGTTTAAGCAATCTCTCTGTTCTGTCAGAGAGCAAAAAAAGGAAAAAAAAAACAGGTTTCCATAGAAGAGAATTTTATCGGAATGAAAAGCAGCAACTAGTGACTTTTGTAGCACCTTTCTCTCTCTTTCTCTCTTTGTCTTTCCCCCTCTCCCTCTCCCTCCCTCCCTTCCCCCCTCACACACACACTCACTTAGTGATCATTTCACTTAATGACTGAGTGGTCAAAACCATTTGCTGTCATTAAATGAGGACCATCTGTATTTACATGATTTAGCTTTGAGATATGAGTTTCATTATGAAATTAGTTTGATTAGTATTGTTTCTTTTCTGAACAGCTTGTAGATAATAGATAGATAGATGATGGATAGATGATAGATAGATAGATAGATAGATAGATAGATAGATAATAGATAGATAGATAGATAGATGATAGATAGATAGATAGATAGATAGATAGATAGATAGATAGATAGATAGATGGATGGATGGATGGATAGATAGATAGATAGATAGATAGATGATAGATAGATGAT